CTGTAGTATTCCATTGCGTTAGTAAAATTACTTACAAAAAGTGTGTGGAAGTCAGAATTTCTGGATTCAATCTCCCCAGTACAGTGACACCAAAAAATTTCAGGCTAATCCAACATTTTATTCTTTCTACCCTAATCTAAGAGCCTAGGAACATTCCTACTCACCCAATATGAATTAGCAACATCTTGCAATTTTTTGGTATATACAGTAATACCTCACAAATCATACCTTTTATGGGTGCTCTTGAATATTTTTGGTATTAAGTTTAGATACAGATTTAGAAAATGTGACAGATGACAAGGATATAACCTCAGGAATGTTAGCAGTAGATTTCTTAGTAATTACTTTAGGACCCTCATGGAAGATTTCTAGTTCCCTACCTGTCCTTGAGCTGTGAATAAAATTTTTGTTCTCTTAGTTTTCCAATCCATGTGGAAGGAACTAATCGATAGCCATTAACCTATTTGAATGAATAAATTATAATGTAACAGATACTTAATAAATGTGTTTTATTCTCTATAGGAATTATATTTCAAGTGTCTATGTGTGAGAATTTAAATAATACTTTACTCTTTGCATGCCATGGAGGACCAAGGTTAGAATCTCTGAATCTAGTTATGTCAGCAAATTTCAAATTCCATTTTTAAAATTCTGTTCCATGAAAATACTTCTGATGTCAATAATTATAGTCCACCCAGGAGAGCTGTGTTAGAGTGATTATGTTTATTGTAGGGAGGTGGTACATGAATATAACACATCGTAATCCCCCTTCCACCCCTCCCTCCATCTCTTTGTCCCTTTTCCATTTCCAAAAGATTTATGTCCACAAACAATTTCTTTTTTTCTTCATTGGTACATTTCAGGTATACAGTACAGTTACATTCATCATTGGGATCTTGTACATGGATCTTGTACATGACATATCTTGGTTATTTTTTCCCCATTCCCCTGGCCTCCCTTCACCCCCTCCACCAGTCCCTATTTACAAAGACTGTGTTTCCATTTTCCTCTTAAATTTTCTTTTCCCTTCTCACCTTTCCCCCACCCCTCCCACTTCCTCTACACCTTTAGACTGTTTTTCCTATTACACAATATCAATTGAATACATTTTGATCCTTATTTACACTTTTAGTTTATCAGTTTCTTTTTTTTTTTTTGATAAATTTTCACTCCAAATCACAAAAGGAAGGAGATTATGGAGAATGTAGTTAGGTTTTAAAATACAGATGGCCAAATGGCTTTAATGTTGCATTTTTTTAGATTGCTTTACAGCACACAATTAAAATGTACTTTTATGCGCTGAGTGACAGCAAATAGTTTTAGCGCTTAGTATATGCTAGGCATCCTGTTAATCACTATACCTAGCAAATCTCTTGAAAACTTTGTGCTATGGCTTGTATCTAGATGACCGCCACCAAGCCTCATATGCTTATAGGTGGGGCTTTTCCAAAATACCTGGTTCTAGAGTGTGTGAATGTGAATAAAGAGTGTAATAACTGAATTGCAGCAATAATTGAATTATACTCTTAATTCATTGGTTCATCATAGTTCTGCCTGTGGATAATGGGAGTGGGTGGCACCACCCCAAGTCTTTGGATGAGATAAAAGGGGAAAGGAGATTTGCTACTTGTGCCACCTGCCTCCTGTGTCACTGCCCCTAAATGATTCTCCTCTGTGATGACCTCCGCCATGATGTCCTCTGCCTTGGGGCCAGCCAAATATGCACTGAAATCTCCGTAAACTGTGAGCCAAATAAACCTTTCCTCCTTGAACTTTGGGTGTTGACTATTTTGTCTTAGCAAGATAACCGATGCATTTTGTAGAATACTAGTAATATTTCTGTTTTATTCTACTAAACTGAGGCTTACAGAGATTCAGTAACTTCCCCAATAGACAACTTCGTTGTAAGAAATAGAACTAACTACTTTGACTCAAAGTTCTGTGTACTAAATTACTCTGGTGGCCTCTCTTTTTATGCTTTGAAAATATTTTGTAATAAATGCATAAAGATTAATAAAACCTAATGATAAGCTTGCTTTAGAACCAAAATGATCCAAATAATTTTAATTTTCAAACTCAGATAATGTGATGAAATTCCACTGTACATCTGGACAATGTACAAGGTTTTCAGCTGGAAATACTTTCAGTTGGTTTCTGTTATGATTTTGAGAAAAAAAAAGGAAAGAAAGGAAACTAGGAAGGATTATTAGTATATAGAGTTTTCAACTAGTGAAACATATTTAATTCTATTTTTTCAATTCCCTTGGTACAAGAAGCAATAACTGAGAGTAAAATAATCCATGGAAAAATGATATTTTTATAAAAAATTATTGTAAAGGAATAGAAATTAGTTACCTACATGGGAAGGGTTGAGAGGCCTCATATATCTTCTGTTACCCTACGCTATTAGTGAAAGTAAATGAATAGGAACCCTAAGCTAGTATTTATTCCATTACTCTAAAGTAACTTAATTTTTAATAATTAATAAAAAGTAATAGAATATGTGGTATAAGATCCAATAAACTGGGAGAATGCTAGTACAAGCAAAGCAGAACTCATAACTTTTCCATATGAGTTTACACATTATAAACTACCAAAGCAAGTATACAGTATTTTTTTTTTATTTTTTATTTTTTTGCTGAGCGTGACTAGGACAGAAAATTGAAAGACAGAGCATGCAGTCACTTTTTAAATTAGATTTAATTGGATTATCCATTTCCAACAATAGTTAGATCCGAAGAGATTGGGAAACAACAGAAGTCATTATTTGTTGAACAAAGGATTCACTGGGCTCCGCAGGAGCTGACCCCCATGACAGGGGCCATCAAGTAAGGCGGACATTTTGTAAAGTGACACCTAGCACAGAGGCTCAGTAAAAGTACTGAATACATTATCCAACAAAAGAGTATAAGATAAAGTTATATAAATAATTAACTACAATTTCAAAGGAGGGAAAGATCTCATATCTAAGGGGAAATTGAGCAGCATTTTAATGTGAGGTAGGCGTCAGTCGTGACCCTTGAAGGATGAATAGGAGGTCATCAGCAACGATGGAGAGGGAGGTCTCCAGGTGTGAGCAGAGACACGGGTTTACCTTGATGAAGGTGTGGGGAAGCAGCAGAGGAAGAGAGGGATAGCATTTGGTGTCCTGGTCAGTCACAGAGGCTACCTACTGAGGTAGCAGTGAAATCGTTTCCGTGGTGATGACAAAAAGACAGTGGAAGGAGAAGAGTCTAAGGCTGAACCTGTGACTGGGACGCCAGTCTGAAAACCTCTGCGCACACAGGCAGAGCGGAAGGCTCTGAAAGGATGCCTAAGGAAAACTGGAAGTTTGTGTCACCAATCTCATGCTTTGGCTAAGAAAAAGGCTTCATCAAATATATTTGGATCTAAGTTCTGTGTCTCCCTTGCCAGTGCAGAAAGCCAAAGACGAGTAAGGTTCTTCTTGAAAATGTGTGATATTCCCTAAAGACTCTTTTAGGAAAAGCAGGCGCTCTAAGAAATATTTGTTCATTAGACATATTCTGGCAACAGCCCGAAAAAATCCAGATAATATCAAGCACATGCACATCTACGCAATACACTTGATTCTTGAATTACTGGTGTTTATTTTGTTAACTGTCATATAAATTATATATTGCTTTCTCTAGTAAATTTATTTTAAAAGCACCTAAAACATGTTTCAAATATTGTAAGCAATGATTGAATTTGTGTCCAAAAACTTCTTATATGTTAACTGTTTAAGTTTTACAACTCTAAGTAGGACAGAGTTTTGTTAAAATACATCCCTTTTATTGCTATAAAGAAGGTAAGAACTCTGCAGGGTCTTGCTTGCTTCAAGACCATCCTGGTTGCTGGCTGGCTTAAGTGATAGACACTCCTTTGAAACTGAATGCAGGTATATTCCCTGTGGAACCTCACTGCCCTGAAAAGGAGGCCTTCCTGCTGAATCAGTGGGGTTTATACACATGCAAAAATTAACAGATAACCCATGCCTTTTAGATACTCCCGATGTATTTATTCTTTGTTTTCTCACAAGGGGGACATGTTCCTCTTCTTCCAGATGGAATTCTCTACTTTCCTAGTGAGAAATAGAGGTCACCTAAAGCAGAGTGTCTTGTGAGGACAGTGCATGTCTCTCCAGTAAAGTCGTCACCACTTGCTGGCCGACTACAATGTCCAAGCCGCTCCCCCACCTTGGCTCTCCCAGCAGCAGACAGCAGCCCAGGCAGCCATGTTTCCAAATAACCCCAAATGTGCCGCGTGAGCACCAAACATCACAGGAGCTCAGATAGCTTGCAGCAGAAGCTAAAGGATCTCAAAAGTGAATGGGGCAAGGCTGTAGATGGGTTACTAAATTACGGTAGCAAACTCTAAAGCAGTTTTGCCGTTTCCCTCCTCAGAACAAGCTGACAACCTGAAACTGGTTGGATTTCACATGAGCTTTTGACTCTGGGGGCCTAAACACGAGAAGAAACAAGATACCAAGTATCGCATGTGAGGTTGCAGAGGCAGGGCCAACGGAGCTGTGTTACCTCACAAAAATTCAAAGAGAAAAATCAATCCAGGTGATTATTTCTTGTGCTCCCATTTATGAGCTGTAATACTGAGATCTGTCAGCCTTCATACAAACAATGCCTGCCGTGCATTGTTAATTAAGATTCTGGATAGAGTCATTAAATGCTACAGATATCTAATATGGTCATCCTGTTAATTTTAATCAGTGCAGGCCCGACTGTCCCATTCAAGCACCCTCAGTAGGGTGTGTGTGCGTGTGTGCGTGTGTGCGTGTGTGTGTGTGTGTGTGTGTGTGTGTGTTTGAAGGTAGGACAGTGTGTTCCTTTGTTCCTATGACTTGATGTGTCATTTCAAGAATGGCCCGAGTGCAGCCGAGAGACCAGGTTTCAGATGCCTCCCGGATCATCCTTGGACTCGTTAATAATGGAGGAGCGTGACGGGTACAGCTCTGCCTGCCTTTGTTTCTGCGGAAGGAGAAGGGAGACATGGATCTCTCTGTTTTGCCCAATAACAACCATCCTGACAAGTTCTTGCAGCTGGATGTGAAGTCTTTGATGAAGAGCCCACCCTTTCAGCAGGCCAGCCTCGCGAGACTGCAGGGTGGAAACTACCCTGCCGCGCAGCACTGGCAGAACCTTGTCTACTCACAGGTAAGTTGGGGGGCATATAAGAAGGGGGGCTTGTTTATTTCTTACTACAGAATATTTCATTGTTTGTGTAAAAGGCGTGATGGAGAAGTGAGAAGCAGGTGGCCGCTCGCTCTTACAGCACACGTTTCTCCAGCCTCTCCCTTCCTCTTCAGTCACTGGCTTCTCCGCCCGTCTTCGTTTTAGATTTTGTGTAGCACTCATTTCTCTTCTTCCCCTCAGGGTTTTGGAAACAGACGTTGCATTTTTCAAATAAGGCTTTAGAATGAAACCTGCCTGCCTTTTCTTTGGTGTGGTATAAATATAAAGTCTCTGGATCTTACGCTCCAGGAACTTGCTTCTGCCTCCCTTACAGACCAGCTCCCTTCCCTTTAAACAGGGAAGACTCGGACAGCAAAAAATAGAAACCTAATGAGGGACCTGAGGAGAAAAAAAAGAGGACAAACCAACTCAGGGAACTCTCCATTTTGAAATGGTGCTAGCTATTATTTTAATTATATTTATTTTCCACAAGTGTCCTTGCGGACGAGACATCCCAACACACCTTTGAACCTAGCGTGGATCTACATACAGTATATCTCTTGTTCTTTTTTTTTCCCCCTCTTCCTTCTTATTGCTGACAAAAAGGGAAGAACAAAATTGTGATGAGTTCCATGTGCTAAATAGAATAAACAGAAAGACCCTGAAAGTTACACAGCTGATGAAACGAATAATCTTCGTTTTAAGATGTGGAGGCTAACAGGGTTCAGGGTTAGTCAATTTAGAGACAGGAAGAACCATTTCACTTCAGAACAGATGGGACTGACCTACAAACCCCTGCAAGTCATTAAATCCTTTGGAGTGTTTCAAATTCCCCGAGCAGAAATTTGTTTTTTTCAAGAACAGTTGCTACTCATGAGTCCTGGTGTAAAGCGACTCCTTTGTGGTATGTTTGCGTGCTCTTTGGGACATTTACTATGAGATCATTCAAAACCAAGCACTGTCAGATGATTATGCAAGTGCAGCCCCCACCTATAAGGATTTTAATTTATTTCCATTCTAAGGCAGGCTATTGGGGCAACTAACATTTTAAAAGAAACATTGCATCTGTGCTCTTGTAATCTTCAAGCACTCTTCCTTAATCTACACACCCATTGTGTTGTTTTTTGTTTTAGTTTTAAGTAAAGCCCTTCCACTTTTACCTTTCTTGTTCTTTGTATCACAGATCAAAAGGATTAAAAAATTATTTCAGAAAACCTCTCCGCTCCCCATGTGATGAAACGGAAACACCTCAGTGTAACGTCTTTTGTTTGGGACTGGTGTTAACCTGTTTCCTTCATTGGGAACTTTACAGTTTAAAACTCTTGTGTTTTGTTCCTGACCCTGAAGGAAATGCAGACTTTTAAAAGGCAGCTTTTTCCACAGGTCTAAAGAGTATTCAAGGGAAAAACAAGGAAATATACCTCTGTTTCATGTCTCTTTAAATATGTGCTAAAAATTAATTGTAAACTTCAAATACACTTGATTTACTTATCCCTTTACTTAGTCCCTTTAGACAATTTAATGCAAGCCAGCTTACAACAGAAATAATGCAGGGCCAGGGCCAGGAAGAAGAGGTAGTAAATCAAGTACAAAGTCATATGGTTAGGTAGGTGTGGCACAAACTGAGAAAGAGCAATTGTATGCAAAACATCACAGTGCATCAATAAATAATTCTCTCCTTGGATGGATCTTAAAATCCAGGGGTGGGTATATTCATAAAAACAATAATCTCAACAAAATGGGCATATGAATGTTCTAAATAGTTGCAGTGATTCACAGAAGAAGAAACTAAATGCCTGGTATGTTGAGGTGTTAGGCACACTTAAAGGGGCAGCTGGTAAGTACTTCATTAATTAAAGCTTTCCCTTTTATGAGGATCCATGAAGCCAAAGGGAAACCATTACACCAATAACAAGATCACAAAATAAAGGATTGGAAGTGTGGTTTCTTTTCTCAAACCCGCAGTAAGCCACTTCAAGACAGATGTGTCATGGTCCTTAATCAGTCTGTTCTCACCTGCAAAATAAGCACCATACTTAAAGTGTTTCCTTAAAAATGAGAAAAAATAAAATGTAAATTAAAATATAAGTAAAAATTTAGAGGTAGTTTCCTATAAAAGCGAAGAGTATAAATAGAAATATGTATGTATATATTATTCACTAATATCCCAAAATGTAATGAAATCGGTTTATTGGAATTTAGGAAACAGATGATACAATACCATTATTTTGTAGATATTGTGGTAAGAGATGGGTGTGGATGTGGGTGAATAGTTGTGGTGGTTGACGAATGTACCTGATACATTTGTCATTTTTGTAACTGAAGCAGTAAATTTGATGTACACAGGAAATCCATACAAATTTCAGTGGAGTCACGTAAGCTACCAGTCACATGCTATCTGGTGCTTGGAACACAGATTACTTTATGGAATGTCACCAGACTCAACCAACAAACATTATCTTGGAATTGGTGTAAATGTAGGGGTTAAAACAGAAATCCCATAGATCCCAAATATCAAGTTGAGTTTATAACTGCATGGATTACTTTAATGACAATGCATTAACTTCTGATCTTCTAAAAATTCACACTAACATTCCTCACCATTTTTACATGATCTAACACAATGTTGGAGGGCCTAGAAAAGTAAGCACTTCTTAGGTATTGACCAAGGACATTGTCAGTCCTGTGAAGTAGGTATTTTGGGGGAAAGAAGTTATTAATTGAATCCTAAATTCATACTCCTTCCTCTTATATACTTTTCACTAGAGAAATTAGGAGCTTCACAATAAATTCTGTGTAGATCAAATAAAAATATTTTCTGAAGTCTAATATTTCTGGGTGTTAAAATGATTTGGGGCATATGTCTCATGGACACGTTTTGAATAGTATTCCAAATCCTTTATGAAAAGAGGCAAGAAGAGAGAACCTGATTTTTAAGATAAAAATTGTTTCAAGTGATAAAATATCAGGTATTCTGGTGGGCCATTTTTTCTTTAACTAGCAGCAGTACTTATGAATCTTTTCAGACTAATCTCTTTATTCCAACTTTCTCTGACCATTAGAGTGTGAGATTCAGAACCCAGGCGCATCCCGGTGACAATCTGTGGAGGCCCCGCTCTGCAACTTCTCCTCTTTGATCTCTACACGATGTCATTCACTGCGTTCGTTTGCTAATCACCAATATTCATGTTCGGTTTGGTAGCACTCTTCCTGCTTTTTATCCTTACGTGTATGCATGCATGGATGTAGATATGTGTATATATAGATCTATGTCTTACTTCATGGTCTCTGAACTCACCTGTCCTGCCTTCCGTGTTTCCATTCCTAGTCTCCTATTCACTATTTTGAAAAGAATAGTCCTGCTTATACAACAGTCTCCAATTTAAAAGTTCACATAGGGATGTATTACAGAGGTTTGCAAGTGTTTGAATTGCTAGCTAAGAATTATACCAAGAAGCATTGTCACATGGCTCTCTTGTGTATATCAGAACATGATTTATCAAGTTATACTGCATTTATGGATCTCAAAGTTCCCCACTAGTGTCAGAGACTTTCTTGGATGTTACTCTTCAATAAGCACCACTTGGCTTGTCTGACCACTACTCTCAGACTAGCCCCCAATGTCTTTTGTACTAAACCCCAAATAAAAGACACTTTGCAAGTTTCAGCACCAGGAGCGGGACTTCAGAGGCCTAATTACCTGTCAGAGAAGGCAGGACATAAGACACAACTTGGGAACAGCCCTTTTGCCCATCAACTGGAGAATGGATAAAGACATTGTGAGTTTGGGGGGGTGTCTACAAAATGGAGTACTACTCAGCCATAATGAATGAGAAGCTAGAGACATAGCTAAATGGATGCCCATTGAGACCACGCTCAAGTGAAATTAATAGGACACACATGTGTAAATATCAAATAGTTTCTCTTCTGTGAGAAACTGAACGTGTAAATAAGGACTAAAAGGCATGACAATGTGAAATAGGAAGAAAGGGGGCAAAGGAATTGGGAAAGTGGAAGTGGCAGGGGAAAGGGAGTAAGGGAATGGAGTTAATATGAGAAAATAAAAAAACAGAAACAAAGTCTTTGTACATAGGGAGGGGTGGAGGGGTTGAAGGGAGGGCGGGGGAATGGGGAAAAAGAAAGAACCAGGATATATCAATATATCATGTAAAAGTACAAATTCCCAATGATGAATGTTAGCATATTGTATACCTAAAATGAACCAATAAAATTATTTTTTTTAAAAAGAGACAAGAGACACTTGGGTCTATCATAGGGTATCTATGAGCTTTGTCTAAGATTTTGAATTTTATTCTGAAAATTTTGAAGAATCAGTGAAAAAATTTAAGAAAATCACATGACAAAATCTGTGCTTTGAAAAGATAAACATTGTGTCAACTTCGGAAACTCAGTTACTATGGTTAGTGGAGAGATGATTTTTAGGAAAAGTCTGTCCACGGAACCATACATGAAATAGAAACAAGATACCTTGTTTGCATAATAATTATAAAGATGTACAGATCAAAATGGGGAAAATGGAAATTTTTATGATCTTGATTCTCCCAAAACACAAATACGCTGAATCTTTTCATATCTGCAGTTGGTCAGATGACCTTCAGTTATACAGTACCTTGTAATCCTTTACATAAATACTAAGCAAATAGTTCATTAGGTTTACATTTAAATACTTAAAGTAGTTATGGCTCTTTATAATATTACCTTCAAATCATATTTCATAGTTACTTCTGTATGCTACTGATTGTTATATGTGGATTTTGAATCCAGGAAATGTGTCATAAACTCTTATTTTATTTTGACTATAAACGTTCCTATAGATAATCGGGTCATCTGTTTTGTTTTGTTGTTTACAAACTTATTTATTTACTCATCTATCTACTGTACTCTATTGCAATGCTTTGAGCTTTCTCTATGATTTAGTGATATTGTAACTAGTCGTATCTTCGTATTAATTCTAAATATAA